CTAGATATATACGACACGATATAATAAAAAAAAACCTACTATCAATACAAAACATTGTGAATAATAATAATAATAATCAAAAGTCTGTATGGCTGGCTGAAGGTGCAAGAGAAAGCAAAGTTACTTTTCACAAGACGATCTGTGACGATTTCCTGCCATAAACAGTTTGGCTTGGATAATAATGACGTCGAGCGTACGTGAAGTGAACTACAATCAGCATGAATGTAGGGTATGACGGTTTCTCTGGCTGTTAAATGGATCACAGCACAAGTCTCAGCCACTTGTGTTGGGCAACGTCAGGGCTGGCCGCCTTGCCTTGCCCATGTCGTTCGTTTTATCCAAAGGTACTATATAAATTCTTTTTATTGTTGTTGTTATATTTATTGTTATTATTATTATTATTATTAGTAGTAGTAGTAGTTGTTGTTGTAGTAGTACTAGTAGTAGTAGTACTAGTAGTAGTACTAGTAGTAGTAGTAGTAGTAGTAGTAGTAGTAGTAGTAGTAGTAGTAGTAGTAGTAGTAGTAGTAGTAGTAGTAGTAGTAGTAGTATTAGTATTATTATTATATTATTATATTATTATTATTATATTATTATTAATATTGTATTATTATTGCCGTCGACTGGCAAGAGAGTTGGCCAATAAACGTCCAACTTACTGCTAGATGGTCTATTCATAGTTTATTAGGTTAAAACCTGGTTTAAAAATGGGTCCGAAATGATTGTAGCAATTAGTTGAATGAAGGTTTTGAATTTGGCCACCATTTGCTTGGAATTAATATTTTAATTTAATTTTAACATTTGATTTCAAATTATTTAAAAGTAGCCGATATTCATATATACAGCAAAACAAACGTTAAGCTATTGTTAAAATGGCCATTCCTGGCTCTGGTACGCTTTTGTTTTAGAAAATGTATGAGCTGTGTGTTGTTGCGACTAAAACTAAAATATTCTAGTTGTGGGTGTGTAGTTGTGCATGTTTTTATAAGTATTTGCGTCTCAGCAATGTTATAATTCGAAAACTGATTGACCAACAAGACACGTCTGACCTTTAACCTGGCCTCAATAAACCAACTGCATCTTAATCGTCGCAGGAGGTTCAACGTTCAGAGATCAAGGCCTATCACAATTGTCCGTCCACTGATATAGCTTGTCCCAATCTGGTGTCATTGTTATTTCTATGTTATCTTTGTCGTTTTTGTTGTTGTCGTTATTGCTATTTCTACATTATCTTTGTTGTTTTTGTTTTCGTCATTGTTATTTCTATGTTGTCTCTCTTGTTGTTGTTGTTGTGTTGTTGTTATTGTTGTAGTTGTTGATATTATACTATAAACAGTCTCTTTTATTTTATTATGAAAATATGTATCTCACACACACACACACACACACGCACGCGCACACACACAAATTGATGTAATCGTGACAATGTTATTTGCATTATTAGTAACGATTATAGTAATACTCGTAGCAAAGTAGTTGTAGGAGAAAAAAATGCTATTGTTAATGAGGTTGTTGATGTTGTAGAAGTATGTACCACCAGCATGTCGTTTATTATAGATTGTACTTACTCCGAGCAAAAATTCTGATAAAAATGGTAACAAAGTGACAGTAATTTTTTAACAGCATCAAATTCTTTCTTTATCCAAAAAACAATTTCCGATTTTGAAAAGTTAAAAACATAGTTAGAAAAAGGAAAAATATTTTAAAATTAAAGATTCCTGTGGAAACATAATGGTGGGGTAGTGACGATATTGACGATGAAGACGACGACGACGATGATGATGATGATGATGATGATGGCAGTGAAAATAATTAGAACGATCTTTTTTATTCAGCTATAAAATAATGAAAATGACAATAAAATGAAACAAATTGGCAAGTAGAATAAAATAAGAGTAGAAGTGAAATAAAATAAAAGTAGAGTATTAATTCTTTTTACGAAGCTCTTCATTTAAAAAGAATGAGTGCAACTAGAGTTTAATTAGTTTCAATAACAGTAAGATTAATAATAATAATAATGCGAAGAAGAATTACAATCATATAATCTTTGCAAGTATGTCTGACAAATTCTGCAGATAATAAATTTTTGCACAGTCCTCAACACCTTGCTTGTTTTTTCCGAATTGTTCACTTATTTCTTTTTACATCAAAGTTTTCCGTAAAAATTTCCCATAAAAATTTTCTACTAGCAAAAGTAACTAGTGGTGTTAATGAAGTTTGGCTGAAAATAATTAGACAATTCTCTATTAAATAAATTTCACTCTTTTGAAGTTCTTTCAATTTTTGTCTTAAAATAACTCCACATTTTTTGGATGAGCATATTAAATTAATAATATATATCAACTGATGAAAATTGCATTGTATTGTAGCCTCAGATCAAGATATATTCATTTATCATTCATTCATTCATTCATTCATCTATTCATTCATTCATTCATTCATCTATTCATTCATTCATTCCTTGTTTTTTTTATTTATTCATCTACTCATTCATTTGTTTGTTAAAGTTGTTGTCATTTAACGATTAATTAATAGTACACACAATACACACACAGCAAAGTATAAGGCATTGAAACGTAGCAAATGGAATTCAGACAGATGTAGATATGCCTCTCTCACCTCTCCTCTTCCATCTCTTCTTATCTCTCTTCATCTAAGATCCATTCCTTGGAAACATCGTTGAAATGTTGTTTATTACTAAAAGATCAAACATTTGATCTTGTTTGGGCTCCAGTAAACTTCAACATTAAATTAATGTTTCAGCACGTTATTATATTGTATTGTATTGTGCGACAGATAATTTTAATTTTGTCGTTGGCTTTTAATAAAAAAAAAAAACGAAATTATATATTTTTTCATAGATGCTTTTTGTATTATCAACGTCAGACTTTGGGCTTGATGTCATGTTACTTGATAGTTCACGTTATGAAACTTCCAACTTTTTTAATCTCACAAGTTCCACAAACAACAATCATGAAAGTAGAATAATACTTTTCTAAGTATCTGGCGCACCAGTGATTCAAGCAAGAGTTTCAATAACAACTCATGCGGGAGCATCTCTCTCTCTCTCTCTCTCTCTCTCTCTCTCTCTCTCTCTCTCTCTCTCTCTCTCTCTCTCTCTCTCTCTCTCTCTCTCTCTCTCTCTCTCTCTCTCTCTCTCTCTCTCTCTCTCTCTCTCTCTCTCTCTCTCTCTGCTTCCCACCGCAGTATCCTCATTAATGTTGCTTCGTCGTACTTTTTTGTCAGTCTGAGCAGCAGTATTTGCTAACTTATTTTTATGCAACTAATTTTTTAGAGTTTGTGTCAG